CCACCTCCACCACTACCATCCCCCACCACCACCTCCACCACAACCTCCACCACCATCACCACCTCCTCCACCACCACCTTCACCATACCACCTCCACCACCACCTCCACCACTACCATTCCCCATGACCACCACCACCACCACCTCCACCCCCACCATCACAACTTTCACCAACACAACCTCTACCACCTCCACCACCATCACCACCACCACCTCTACCAGCTAAACCATCACCACCACCACTTCCAACACCTCCACCACCATCACCACCTCCACCACCATTGTACTCTTGCAGTGTCCCTCTCATGATCAGGATAAGCAGTTGAGAGCATTTTAGCTAATTCAGAATTCCCTTGTAGTAGTCAACATGTTCAAAACTCCAAGAATCCCCAGTACTTTCCTGACTATTCCTGGAAGCTCTGGGCTTTGGACTTATTTTTCTGTGGGCATGCTAGAGCACTGGATAGAAACCTATGGAGAATCGATACAGGTCAGCCAGACGGTGGGACTAAAATGCTAAGGAGCAGAGAGTGTGGGATACTGGAGATAGTGGCAAGCATATGTGAGAAGCAAGCCACCTGCCTCTCCCTCTTGTTTATTGCCCCTTCCCTTTTAACCTCTTTCTCATTACAAAGTCCCTAGAATTAGACTGAATATAGTCCTAGTTACAACCAATGAAAGACCCAGGGCCCATAACCCTGATCAGATCTAATATTTGGGCTCATATGAAGTACATCTTCTTGTGTGGCTCAGTCATTGTCTGATGTCCCTGTGTGCACAGCATGACAGTGACATAAAATATATATTCTTTTTAAAAAATATTTTAAGGTTTTTTCCTTAGGGTGCATGAGCTTGCTTGAGAGACAGAGACGGTCAGAGAGAAAATGAGAAATCACCCCCCTGGGGAGATGATCACGCTACAATCCCCTCTCCTCCAGTCTCCTCCTGGGATTTTTGGGCACTCATGAACAGACACATGCACCTGGCCTGATTTTTAAGCCCCCAAGTCTGGGACTTAAACTGTGGCAGGCCATGTGGGAGTCCAGCACCTTAACCATTAGGTGGCCCCAATAAAATATACATTCTACATAACATATCCTCTATTGCAGATCACCTGGGATTACATGACTAAACAAACTTAGCCTCCATATATAGGTCTCCATGGGCCTCTCTTCCTGTAACTTGGCCATCTTCACTTGATTTATGTGCCTTGCCTTTTCCATTCACTTTTGAGCAGGAGGAGGGCTGGAGGAAGTGGTCTGTAGAATGCCAAAATTAGAGGTTAAAAATCATTAGCAGAGGCCTTGGCTATGAACTCGCTAATGCATAGTTTCATGGAGCATTTTCAGTGAGTGTAGACATTCTGCAGATATCCCTGAAGGGATCTGATTGGCAACTGGAACTGGGAGCTGACCTATTACAAGCCAAATAACTCTATATGTGGCTTCATAATAGTGATTGAAGACTTGCAATGGGCAATTTTAGTTGTGGGTTGTATGTAAAGATAATAAAGGTGACAGCTGGATGGGTTATTAAGGACTAGCTTTTCAGAAAGCTCTTTGGAAGGAAAAGGGCCAACAATATTAAGAATGCTTGTCACTATGTAAGGGAGATTGGAGGTGACTTTAAAATGGTCCCCTGTATGCTTTTCCATTTTGCAACTCTTATTTAATAAACACTCTTTAATTTTACAATCATACCAGTTAACTTTTTGAGGTGCCCTCGAAGCTCTTTCTTTATGTTCTGCGAACAAAATTTTTGATGTCATAGACTTCTTTGACAATTGGATAGCTTTACACACGATTGATCAGTGAGTGAAGCATGAAACTCAGTATTCTTACACAGCACCCACTTACTTATTGTATAAATGGCTTTTATTCGCAGACATCTGTTTTAGGATCGTTTAGAAAAGGGCTCCCAAAGATATTCTATCCAACAAATGGACTATTGCATATTGATAAGGAGACATTTTGTAAAGTGTTTCTGAACTCCTGATGTCATTTAACCCTCTTCTCCACCCAGACAGATGTACAGGGGGAAGTGGCAACATGGCATTCAACAATGTGACTAATGCCCTCAGCTTTTAGGGAAGAGTGAGGGCTAGGGTTTAAGAGTTCTTGGCTCTCAACTGGAAACTTGATTTCTTTTTTTTTTTTTTTTTTTTTTATGAATGGCCTTGACTTTAAATCTGATCCCTTCTTGTCCCCAGACCTCACTTTTTCTATCCTAATAAATGTAGGTGCGCTTGCAAGACATTCCATGAGCTCAGTGTAATAAGGCTACCACTTAGTTTCCCCCTCTTTACCCCAAGACCATCAGATTAGCAGGGCGAAGTCTACCGGAGTGTCACCCCAAGGGAGCATTCAGGCAGGGTTTTAGGTATTGAGACCAAACTCAGTGAAACCGTGTAATTGCTAAGAATAATAAATGAGGGACCAGCAGTTGGCGTAATGGCTATCTCGCTGGACTCCCATGTAGTCGACTACGGTTCGAGTCCCGGACCCGGTGGCTTAAAACTCACGCCGGGTGCGTGTGCGTGCGTGCCCGAGATCCCAAGAAGAGAACGCAGGAGAAGGGACTGTGGTGTGGCCATCCCCCCTGGGGGGGGGGGGATTTCTCGCTTTCTGTCTCTCTGTCTCTCTCTGTCTGTCTGGCGAGTGTACACATGCTATACACACCCTATGGCGAAAACCTCTCCAAAAAAAAACAAAACAAAACAAAAAAATGAGCAGGAGAGAAGAGCCTTCCTTTTCCATGTGACTGTCCCATAGACAGGACAAGGGGGAATCTGGAGGTCGGGACATTCGCATTAGAGTGCACATTCAGTGTGGTTGTTGAAACGCATCAGGCCATTTCTCTTGGAGCTCATAAATCATTGGGGAAAATATCCCTCCAAGAGGGAGAAATTCATACTTAATCATTTTAAAGGACAGATGCTAAGTCGAAGCTGGCCTCCACCAGCCCGTTCAGAAAGGACTGAAGCAGCCTCCTTTTCGTTCTTCCTTCAAGGAGGCCTCTGCCTGAACTCACGCATTATGGTAAACTGCAAAACCATGGAGAGGGACAGGAAGGGGAATGCAAGGTTGGCAGGGTCCCCACAACCTCATCCACCACATAATTAAAGGAGAAAATACCCACATAGACAAGCCAGCCCCAAAGTGAAAGGCCTCATATGTTTTCCCTGAGCATCGTTGTATTTTTAGTTGTGGTTCAAGGACAATTTGAGTGAATGATGGTTGTTTTCATTGCTAATGTGTCTCTTTCTCCTGGCAGCCCGAGAATATCCTGTGTGTGAATCGGGATGCTAAACAAATAAAAATTATTGATTTTGGATTGGCCAGAAGGTAAGTCTGTTGGAAGAGGCGTTCGAATGGAGTTAGGGGGTGGGCCGGGTGCTCTTTCTGTGCAAAGATACATCTGATATGCTCCTTGGTTTTGCGCCCTTTAGAATCAATTTAACCAAAAATATGTTCAGCCTTACCTTGCTGGATTTAAGATTTGAGTACTTAAAAGTTTCTACAATACGTGTAATAAAAACATGAAAAACTTAAAACTGAATGCGGTGAAGTTTATGAAATTAGGAGCCATTGAGTTAATATTTGTAACGGTTAATCTTCGCCTTACACATGCATTCTTTCTGTGAAGAAAAGATTCACTTTAAAACATATGAATAGTGTCAACAGGATTACAAAGGTTTGGCCCAAGTACGCTTCTTAAGAGAACAAAGAGTTTACGTGGACATATTAACAATTCAGGACATTAAGGATGCTTATAAAATGAATGTTGTAAATCATTGCAACATTTCGTTTATACATCAATACAGGCTTATGTCAAGGATTAGGGCAGTTTTTCTGTTTTATATCCTATAAACCAGATGTTCTAATTATTCGGAGTGGCTTCCCCACAACTGTTTCAGATTATTCACTTTATTTTCTTTATTTTTTTTGTCACTGGAGAGAAACAGAGAGAGGGAAAGTGAGAAATTACCCTCTTAGGAGGGGTGGCCAAGCTGCAATCCCTTCTCCTCCAGTCTCCTCTTGGGATTTTGGGCATGAATGCACATGAGCCCCGCATGATTTTCAAGCCTCCAAGTCTAGGACTTGAACTGCAGTCAGCCACATGATAGTCTAGCAACTTTACCACCAAATCACCTGCTGGCCCCAGATTATTAACATGTATAGTATGAATTTTGACTCTTAAAACTCCAGGGACTTGGTTAATCAAGTATCAAAGTATCTCTTGGACATATGATTTTCTTTACAGTCTATGTAAGTTGCATGGTTATCTGTTGGAAGAGGCGTTCGAATGGAGTTAGGGGGTGGGCCGGGTGCTCTTTCTGTGCAAAGATACATCTGATATGCTCCTTGGTTTTGCGCCCTTTAGAATCAATTTAACCAAAAATATGTTCAGCCTTACCTTGCTGGATTTAAGATTTGAGTACTTAAAAGTTTCTACAATACGTGTAATAAAAACATGAAAAACTTAAAACTGAATGCGGTGAAGTTTATGAAATTAGGAGCCATTGAGTTAATATTTGTAACGGTTAATCTTCGCCTTACACATGCATTCTTTCTGTGAAGAAAAGATTCACTTTAAAACATATGAATAGTGTCAACAGGATTACAAAGGTTTGGCCCAAGTACGCTTCTTAAGAGAACAAAGAGTTTACGTGGACATATTAACAATTCAGGACATTAAGGATGCTTATAAAATGAATGTTGTAAATCATTGCAACATTTCGTTTATACATCAATACAGGCTTATGTCAAGGATTAGGGCAGTTTTTCTGTTTTATATCCTATAAACCAGATGTTCTAATTATTCGGAGTGGCTTCCCCACAACTGTTTCAGATTATTCACTTTATTTTCTTTATTTTTTTTGTCACTGGAGAGAAACAGAGAGAGGGAAAGTGAGAAATTACCCTCTTAGGAGGGGTGGCCAAGCTGCAATCCCTTCTCCTCCAGTCTCCTCTTGGGATTTTGGGCATGAATGCACATGAGCCCCGCATGATTTTCAAGCCTCCAAGTCTAGGACTTGAACTGCAGTCAGCCACATGATAGTCTAGCAACTTTACCACCAAATCACCTGCTGGCCCCAGATTATTAACATGTATAGTATGAATTTTGACTCTTAAAACTCCAGGGACTTGGTTAATCAAGTATCAAAGTATCTCTTGGACATATGATTTTCTTTACAGTCTATGTAAGTTGCATGGTTAAAGATACTTTGTCTTTTAGATTGTATATTTCAATTTTCACAATTTTTTATTTTTGGCTCTCTCCATCCTTCCATGTTATCTCTTGAATTCCAGATATAAACCCAGAGAGAAGCTGAAGGTGAACTTTGGAACCCCAGAATTTCTTGCTCCTGAAGTTGTGAATTATGATTTTGTGTCCTTTCCCACCGACATGTGGAGTGTGGGGGTGATCGCCTATATGCTGTAAGCAGTTCTCAGTCTCTCTCTGAGGTGTGCTCTGCGTTCCTCTGTACATTCTATCAGGCTTTGCTGTTTTGAACAAAAGCTCTAATTTAGGTCTTTTAAAAGTAAACGACACCCTTCCGTGCTCAGTTGCTTTCCAGGGTCTGTTGAGCTCTGGGGGTCAAAGGAGTCCATTCTTTCCCCACATATTATCTGAAAAGTGAACATACATCCTTTTCACTAATGACTTTAACTCCTAGGACACCACCTAAACTCTAAAAGCGAATTTGTATTCCAATCTCCTAAATGACTCACGTTAGCCTTACTCTTCAGAGGTGACATGCCTGGCGTTTGCCATCGAATATGTGACAGTGCGTTGCTAGCTGAAAATGCTTAAAGAAAGGTGTTGTACTATTCTTTGAGATTCATATTCTAGCTAGCTACTTTCTTCATTGCCCCAGTTGTTTAATGAGGACTTGAGGTGGGGAAGGTAAGCATTTGCTTGAATGATTGCTGTTAAAAACATACTATAAACTATGCTTTATTATTAAGTTGTTTTCCTTCTGTCACTTTTAAATGAAAAACCAAACAAGCCACCTGTATATGTAAAAGGTTTGAGGCTGTTTAATAAATACCCACTCTGGATCTTGCATCCTGTAGACTTAGCGGCTTGTCCCCTTTCTTGGGTGACAATGATGCGGAGACGCTGAACAACATCCTGGCCTGCAGGTGGGACTTAGAGGATGAAGAATTTCAGGACATCTCCGAGGAGGCCAGGGAGTTTATCTCCAAGCTTCTGATCAAAGAAAAGAGGTAATGCAAGTTGGTCCTGCACTCTGGGAGTAGGAAGTTGTATCTACCACCAGGGTTATTGACATTCATTTTCTTGGTGCCATCTCTGATGCTTGGACAGTCATGAACCAAGGAGATGTGATCCTCTTGACTCATTCTACTGAAAGCTGCTTCTCTGGACATGAGACTTGAATGGGGCTACGAAACTTCTCTCCTTCTGCCTTTTGTAATGAAGCTCTAGCATCGTGGATGACTGCTGGGCTTCAGTTAACTCGTTCTCAAAATCAAGGGTTCGGGATAAGTTATTTCCCCAATCCCTTTTCACTCTCTGAAGGACATAGCTGGCTCCATGTTGCTGAGTACATCATCATTTCATTTGAGAACTGGCTTGAGATCAGACCATGTCAAACACGTTGTAGACATTATCTTCTTAAATGACCGCCTCTATCCTCGTCGGCATGAAGTAGGATACACATTCAGCTATTTCACACAGCCTTCTATTTTCTCTCGTGCTATCATATTATTCAAAATTCAGAGAATGAAGAAGAATGATATTGAAATATAGTGACTTCCAATTTTGAGTTACAGAGAGAAGGACATAATGATTAGCTTGTCAAACACTGCTTCAGATGGTTTTTATACCTAGACCACATAAGTAGATGGTATTTACGATGTTTATTGTTTTATTACCTTAATAGCTTTTGGATCATTAATAAACATGATCATGAATCGATAGGAAGGAGGGTTTCATGGGGAGAAGAGGAAGCTAGATGGGTAATAAACAGGTCTGCTGAAGTGCCTTGACAGGACGTGCTTTTGTTCAAGCATTTAACTGATCATCTTACTATGTGCCAAAAAAATATGTCGGGGTATTGATAATTCGTGCATACAATCCAGCCTACCTTTAGTCATTGACAATCTAATGGAAAAGACAGGTACTCTTGAAAAGATAACATACAATGTCGTTAACATAGAGACAGGGTCATTACTGAGTCCCAGAAGGGCGAGGAGTACTTAGGCTGGGATTATCAGTCCAAGAAGAGAAGAAATTCATCGATAGTGGTTTTCCTTGTTTTTGGTGGAGAGGCATTGAAAGAGTTGAGGTCATTACTATTTGCACATATTTGTACCCCATGCAGTAAATAAAAGGAAAATGTCAACCCTGTCCATGTTTCAGAAGATGAGAAATCCACATTTACTGAGCACTTATATCTGTTTTTACACATTATCTTTTTTTAAAGTTAGTAAATTTTTTTTTTTCATGAGAGAGAGTGCAATGAGAGAGAGAGTGAGAGAAAGACTCTTGCTTGGCAGGGTCTTGTCACATCATAATCCCTTCCTCTAGCTCTCTAGCCAGTCAAGATCTCAGGTGTGCATGTACCCGGCATGTTTCAGATCGACTTGGGATCTGGATCTGGGGTTGACCATGTGGTTTCCAGCACAGCAGTACCACCTGTGCCCCTAAAGCAGGGCCTGTGTTATCTTATTTAACCTCTGGATGATTCTGTGGAGTACGAATGTTATCACCGTTATTTTACAGATGAGGAAACTGAGGCTGAGAGTGGTGAAGCAATCACGTGGCTCCCTTAGAGCAGACTCAGAGGTGGGCCTGCTGGATGCGTGTACACGTGTCCCACCCTCTCCTTTAGTCTGAGGGGTGTATTATTATTATTATTTTGAAAGGTTTTTGCAATAGGGCACATGCGCTCGCCAGAAAGACAGAGACAGAGAGACAGAAAGCTAGAAATCACCCCCCAAGGGGGATGGCCATGCCACAATCCTTTCTCCTCCATTCTCCTCTTGGGATCTTGGGCATGCACCCACACGTGCCTGGCGTGAGTTTAAGCCCCCAGGTCCAGGACTCAAACCAAGGTTGACTACATGGGAGTCCAGTGACATACCCATTATGCCATCTGCTGGTTTCAAAGGTTGCATTATTAGCTAGGGAGCATCAGATACACATTTGGGCAGAGGCCCAGCTGGCTTAATATTTGTGTCAATGCTTGGATGGACCTAAGGCCACAATCAAATAGCACTATCATTGAATAAATTTTGGTGGTACAAAAGTAAATGAGATTTTGTTAAAAATATAACTATTAGCCTAGTATTACTACTTACTTTTTCATAGTCAAATTTTTAGAGTTTGATATTGGAGTTCAAGAATAATAACTTTCAGTACTACAAGCAACTGGTTTGGGAGGGGGGCAAAGGTAAAACTGTAATTTTAAACAAAATTGCTTTCCCAGATAAGGTTGGTGAGGTCAAGAGGCTTTTCAGAAAAATAACTTCTATCCATTTAGGATTCTATCATAATGGTGAGGTTGTCACCAAGTTGTTAAGCTTTCTTTCATTGACTAAGGTAAAGAGTTATTTTTTCTTGGGAACCAGCAGTTAGCGTAATGGCTATGTCGCTGGACTCCCACGTGGTCGACCATGGTTCATGTCCCGGACCCAGTGGCTTAAGACTCATGCCGGGCGCGTGTGCGTGCGTGCCCAAGATCCCGAGAGGAGAATGGAGGAGAAGGGATTGCGGCATGACCATCCCCCCTGGGGGGTGATTTCTCGCTTTCTGTCTCTATGTCTCTCTCTGTCTCTCTGGCGAGTGCACGTGCCCTATAATGAAAACCTCTCCAAAAAAAAAAAAAGAGTTATTTTCTCTTTAAAGTCTATATTTAAATATTTGTTAACTGATGAAATGACTGTAACAAAGCAGATTCTATAGACGGAAGCATCCTGACTGCTTAAAGCTACATTCTTGTTTTTCAGAAGTAGAGACTTCAGATTGTTGCACTCACATATATTAATTTAAATTTATTTAGTTCTTTGAGAGGAATATAGAGGGAATCAAGAGAGAGAGGGAGGTACCCGGGGGGGGGGATGGCATGCCACAATACATTCTCCTCCATTCTTTTCTTGGGATTTTTGTGGATGCACACACATGTGCCTGGTTTAATTTTTCTTTTCTTTATTTTTTTTTAAATTTTATCTCTATCTATCTATCTATCTATCTATCTATCTATCTATCTATCTATCTATCTATCTACCTATGTACCTACCTACCTACCTACCTATATATCATCTATTTGTTGTGATTTTCAGCCTGGGACTTGAATTGCCATCAGTAATGTAGAATTCAGCACCTTAACCACCATGCCAATTGCTGATGGCAAGAACCTGCAGTCTTTTCTTTTTTGGAGAGTTTTTTTTTTTTTTTTTTTGGTATAGGGCGCGTGCGCTCGCCAGACAGAGAGAGACAGAGAGACTGAAAGCGAGAAATCACCCCCCAGGGAGGATGGCCATGCCGTAATCCCTTCTTCTCCATTCTCCTCTTGGGATCTTGGGCACGCACGCACACGTGCCTGGCATGAGTTTTAAGCCACCGGGTCTGAGACGCAAACTGTGGTTGACTACGTGGGAGTCCAGTGACATAGCCATTACGCTAACTGCTGGTCCCCAAGAACCTGCATTCTTAACAACCCTCTTAGGTGATTCTGATGCAAATAACCCTGTTAACCCCTGCATTTCTTTCTTACAATAATAAATAAACATTTCTGCTTAAGCTGACTGATAGGAGTTCAGTTTTAGACGTAAGTATGTAATAGGTCATGAATGGTTACACATATTTGAAAGTAGACATTCAGTTATTAACAAGAATTTTGAATTGTCTGCTGTGCTTGTCCAACCAATGTTGTTACCCTGATTGGATTTCATGGTAATTAACCTTTGCAATCGCAGATAACATATAACTTAAACATTTAGCCATCTGGTCTACCAAAGACAGTCAGTAGAACTGAGGTTAAACTTTCTTTGATGTGTCCTTATTAGTAACCTTACCTTCTGTGTTTCCTTTTAGTTGGAGAATAAGTGCAAGTGAAGCTCTCAAACATCCTTGGTTGTCAGACCACAAGCTCCATGCCAGGCTCAGTGCACAGGTGACCAGGCTTCTTGTTTTTTCCTCTTCTTTTCCTATGTTCCTGTCTTTTAATGAGATGCTAGAGTTACCTTAACTGTAAATAAGGTTCTTTCTAAAACCTTTTCTCACTGTTTTTGAGTCTTCTGCTAGTGTTAAATTGCTTAAGATGCTTTAACTGAGTAGTTTATATTTTTTTAAAAAATGTTCATTTTTAATAGAGTATTATTTTAAGCATAACTGTTATGTTTATTATTAAATTATTGTATCCACCATGGAATGAATTACATCATTGTACTACACACACACACACACACACACACACACACACACACAGCCTAAAATATTTAAATATTGGGGGTTTTGGATAATATATACTAATGTATGTTTGGGAGAAACATACTGCCTTAAAACAGAATTCAGAACTCTAAGTTCTATGCTTACCTGGTTTAATCTGCTCTGGGCACCAAATCTATAATACTTTGTGTGATCCAGATATTCACAAAAGTGTATGTAAAGGAGACATCTATTAAACATTGAAATATTTGTTGAGGTTAATTGAGGCTACATTCTGTAGTAACCTCTTAGCATGGAATCTCTGTCTACTCCTGTTGCCTTAGTTGCCAGTTATGTTCCCTCTCCCTTACCTGTCTCTGGCGCAGATTTCTTTCCTCAGTTTCAGATCCATATACTCATCTATATTCTAGATAGTTCTACTTGGATCTTCTCAGCTCTAAACCAGACTCAGCTTCCTCCCTCTCCTCAGCTTTTCTCCAGTGAAGGATGCCCAGGGTGTAACTTTCATTTCCCCTTTCTCACTCAACCTCCCCCATCTCGTATCTCATTTATCTTTAAGTTCTATACATTATATCCCCTACTTGCCTCTGGAATCTATCCATTTCTCTTCATCCCCGTAGTTATCATGACTTGGGACATCCCTCACCTGAATTACTACAACAGTCTCCTAACAATAGTCTCCTAACAATAGTCTCCTAACTGGCTTTTCTACCTCCTTCATATTGTCTCCATCCAACTATTTGTGTATTATATAAATAACATAGAAACAGATGTGCTGTTTGTAAGTAACTTTATTTAAGCAACTTAACTAAACTTAAAATTTTTGTTTATTTGTTTCTTTCATGAGTGAAAGAGAGAGAGAGAGAGAGACAAAGATGCACCCCCAAGAGAGTTTCATGCCATGGCCCACCCTCAGCTTCAGCCAGTCTCAGAACATGGACACACTAGCTTCTGATGTGTTCAAGGAGGTCTCTGGGTATGAACTCAGAACCTTCGTACGTGGGTCAGCCTCTCAAATCACCACATTGTATCGCTTCTCCACCATCTGGCCCCACTTTACTAAAGACTTAAGATGTTTATCTGAGCAAGGTACACGCAGAGGCAATCAGCTCACTGGGGGCACTGCGACATGGCCACCAGTGAATGTGGAAGCTGCTGTGCCTGCCCCAATACGTGCTCCATACATGTTCATTTCTTCCACCTTTGCTCCCCATCCTCCCGCTCTCTGGGGTTTGGAATGGAACATTTTCACTGACCAACAAACCTTGGAATGACTTGTGCTTCAGGTACTCACTTTTTCCACATCCAGTTTTTATTGAAATTAACTTTACTTCTAAATTCAGCATCAACACTAAGTTTTATTTGTGTCTGAATATACCTTTCCTTGATAATTGGTACTGATGTCAAGTAAAAATAGACTTATTACCTAGTTGGTACCTCACCCAGACTACATAAACTGCTTATTAGGGTTACCAACCTATTTTGAGCCAATTTTCCACCAACGTATTTTTATCCAACTTTATTGGTATCCAAATACCCTTTGACGTGGACAATATAGAAACCACAGTAGATAATTAATGACATTATATAGTTTAAAAAGTGTTTAAAAATATTCTCTAAACCATATAACAACAACAACAGGATCACCTTTTCGTTCATCTATTCAACTGCTGGTACCTAAGGTGAATAGATATTGCAAACGTGATGATAATTTTTTTAAAAACCCGCTGTATAAATTGAGTTATCATTAAAGTTGTAACGACACACCATTGTGCCAGGCACGGTTCGAACTGGTTTATAAAAATTAGCTCATTTAACCCTCACGCTGACATGAGCGCCTATGAAATAGGCACCGTTCTTATCCGCGCTGTGGAGGTCAGGACCCCAAGGACCAGGGTTACATCCTGGCGTCTGGGAGAGAGCTTTCCCACTTTGCTCTCACGCTGGGTGAAGGCAGCTTGAGTGATGTTTCCAGAGCCATTCTCGTACCATACATTTCTGCTGTTACCGAACGCCAATTTTCAAGCTAAATATATATATTTTTCAGTGAAACAAGGAGACTACATTTTCCAAAGGTTTTTATTTTTAGAATAATCTTAGCTCAGATCTATTCTATAAAATCCGAATTTACTTTTATGTTGAAAATTTAGTTCTGATCCCAAAACTCCTCATGATTTCAACCTAAATTCTATTTTAAAGTCTTTTAAAGTCTTCCTTACCTCTTTGAATTGTGTCATGTTTAAAATTGCTTACTGTTTCTCAAGGCACCAGCAGTTAGCATAATGGCTATGTCGCTGGACTCCCATGTAGTCGACT